AGTTTTACAGTCCTACATTTTTGGACATGAGCTAATTAGACAAGAGACAATTTGGTCACGGACTTGCTATGCAGATTTATGTTCTACCCTTTTTAGTTGGATTTTATTCCTTGCTGGACCAATACATTTCCAAGGTGCAGTTTCACAGGAGCATAGATTATTCCTATAATTGTACTTTCAGCAGCAAGTTTGTTCAAAACCATTTTTTTTTTTTTTTTTTTTTTGCCAATATGTTACTCAATGCATGCATTCCTTCCACATCAGGCATGCTTTCCATGTGCTTTCTCTCCTCATGGCTACTGAAAGGAAAATTCCCATTTTGATGAGAATCCTCAGCATCTCAACAGCTCTTCCAATTACACTACTTTGTTCCACATTCCTGTCTCTTTGGGGGAAAGGAATTTCTGTAAAAACTTTAGTGACATACTCTTCCTTTTCAAAATCTATCTTTTAGAATTCATGAAGTTTAGGTATCCTTTAAAAGTACAATTTTAGCCCTTCTATCTTCCATGACTGTATAATTAATAGCATGACTCTGATTTTTTTCCCTTACAGTAGTAGTGGGAGAAGAGGTATGGTCAACCTCTTCTGAGAAAGTTTCCAAATGGAACTAACCAGTATATTGGTGCTGGAGTCATGACATGCTTTGTCATGGTAGGAGACCATGCAGTGCAAATAAAAATGCACATATTCATCAAGAAATGGTTCCAGCACAAAGTCCTTTAGAAATGTATAGCTAAAATACTAATTTTTTAGTATTTTTAAAAAATCACATGCAAAATCTGATATCCATTATAAAACTCAATTTATTTCCTCATGAACAATTTTTGAAATAATTTAAATGGCAGACCTAAGAACCTAGACCAAATATTAGCATTACAGCTACAGAACCTTCTAAAATGACAAAGTCATAATTAAAGGCAACAATATTTCATTTCTTCTGGACAATCCATCCACCAAGCAAACCAAAAAATGGAATCTGCTGTGCAGAATCTCTGCAGTAAGGCAGAGATAACTTAGAAATAACAGAAATAACCTAAGCAGGTCTTTAAATATTTTATTTCGATAGCTACAAGATGGAATGCTATTCCTCAGTTTCTTTTTATACAGAATTGTATTCAGCAAGGAAAACATTATTTACTTCACTGAAGCTTACTATTGGATATCTGCATGGCATGAATGCAAGTAGAACTTCATTATTAACTCATGCTTAATTCAGAAACCTCATTTTTTCCCAGAACTATCTTAATTTAATTCTTTAACCTTTGTTAGTTGGAGGCTCTAATAGATTCTTTAATGAAAACACAGCTGTAAGTGGTGTGAAATTTCATTAAATAAGTACTTGAGAAATGCAAATGGCACTTATTAACTATTTTGATGTGTATTTATTTTTTAAATTTCCTGCACCAGTGTGCAAAGCACATAAATGCTTATTTAGGTATTCTTCAAGAATGAGCATTTCCTGAAAAGTGGAAGAAAGAAGTAGTGATAGAAGTACTACTTACGCCGTTTGCAGCCACATTTTTTTATCCTTTTGGGATCGGTGATGTCATCATGACAAGCCTTGCAGTAAAAAAATGCCCTAGAGAGACAGAATGGAAAAAAACTGACACATTTCTTAATCCATACAAATAGAATTAGTCCCACATTTCCTCTTGTTGCATTGTCAAATTAATGAAACATGCCAGCACTAATTTCTTTTAATCTTTGAAAAGGTTTAGACATTTAAAGTAGGAAGTATTTTCTACAGAACCATTAATCTCAAATATAAGACTTTCTGCTTCAAATTAGTGTTTCTGTTAATATACTTTTACTTGAAAAATTAACCTGGGAGAAGGGATGATAATTATGACAGAGTATATCACTTCATTTGCCTTTCATCAAATCTAGCATCAAATGAATATTGTCATAAAGACATATGATGTGTGAACTAGTCTTAACAGATATACTGGATAGTTTTTGTAAATAGTATATACTGCTCTATATACCCTTTTTTCAACCTAGTTCTAAGTGGGACTTCATTTTTGGTAAAATTCGATATTGGAATTTTGACAAAAGCAGTTATTTGCCCTTTCTATCTAATTAGATTTGTACTGGTTTTGAAGTTAAAAAAGCCAAAATCTCAAAATAAACAAAATAACCAATTAACAAGGTCACTCATCTAAGTTTCTATTTAATGATTTTTCAAATCAGCTTACACTGATATGAAAGAGCTCACCACCAGGTGATGCACAAAGAGAATTAAGGAAGTGAGGAACATTCAACTTGATGTATGATTCAACCAAAATGACTGTTTAATAAATATGCAAACTGCCCACAGAAAATTTTAATCATATTTGTCAAGTTGACATGTCACTAAGGTTTCTGTGACACATCTCATAAGGATCACACAGCTGGCCTTTAGCTGGACAGTAAGAGCTTGTTAGGATTCTTCCTCACATATAAGTATGTAACACACTAAACATACTAGTACTTTTCCACCTGCTAAATTTTCCTATGCTTATGCACAGGCTCCATATCTACTTTCATAAACCTCTCTCACTGAGTACTTCTCAGCACAAATTGGCTGTAAGAACCAAAGGTGTCACTTCATGGTCAGCCATGGATCCGGCAGACAACATTGCTCACAGATGGCTGTCCTACAATAGTAGAAAAGGAACTGGAATACAACAATATAAATCCAAAGTATAAAAGTAAACTATAGACACAGAGCAGTGAAGAAACAGTCTTGGAAAATTCCGATAGGATCATGACGATTATTTTTTGGATTAATTAGTGACCAACATAGGTTGAAATAGATCAATGTAAGTGTTTAGAAGTGTGAAATAAGAATCTAAACCTATAAATAGCTAAAGTTTCATCTAAATAATTTCCTATTTCTGCATATTACCCGTCAGGAGAACGGCAGCAAGCCCAGTGTATAAAGTATGGATCAGAGATTAGATACATTAGATTTGTAGTAAGAACTCACTAAATATTACCGACATTTTAAAGTTCAAAGTAGCAGGCAAGACACTGATGAAAGATAAAAGTTTTAGGTGTAGCAAACTTAATTTATCCAAGAGAATTCCAGGAAGCCTAATCTTTCAGACTATGAGACTGTTGTAATATTCTCAATAGTAAAAAGATAATGTGAAAGAACACTTGCATACTTTGCTACAGAAAGTTTTTGCTCTCCAAAATACTTGCCTGAAAGAAAAATAAATAAATAAAAATAAAAATAACAAGGCAACAAGAATATATTTTTGTTTCAAATCATGAGTGCATGCCAAGACATAAGCTGAGAGGAAAACTTTGGCTCCAGTGTTTACAATTGCTTCCAGCCCAGTTGTAGGGCTCTATTTTCAAGGAGAATTCTCCATTACAGACACTTGCTCACACAACCTCATGGCCAGAAATGGACTATTTATAGAGTTCATGTATCAAAAGTCCGCTACAGGACAACTATCCTAATGAGTATCTTCAATCCTGTTTGTAAAGTCAGGAGCAGGTGCCTGAAGTGACTGCTGTAATAAAATTATCCCACTGCTTAGTCAGTTGAATTAAGTATATTTGAAATAAGTGGATTTCTAATATGAACACTATAATGTAAGTGGACAAAGGTACAATTCATAGAGTTTCTATTCTATTTAAACATGCAACATTTTATATACAATTCTTCAGACAGAGAAAATTCTAGGTGTAAGAGTTTCTAATGTAAAACTGTTTTGCTAAAAAAGAACAAAAATAATTCTAACATGAAGAGCAAATGAAAAGCATGTTATATTTTATTGACAAATATGTATTCAATACACATGAATAGTTTTAACCTAAAGGAGTTGAAATTGTCCCTTTATCATAAATAACACAAAAATTTGAGTTCCAGGTGTATAGCATATGGTCATTTTTGTTTTACTGTACTGTACTTAAATAAATAAATAAAATTAAAAAAAAAAAAGTTAAATAAAAAAAAGCTTTTTCTGCATTTTTTCTTCTACACCCAAATATTTTCCTTACTCTTCTGGTGCTATTAAAATCTCACCAGCTGCAACAGTTGCAGCTACAAACAGATAATTCACTAGGGTGGAATAAAAAGSAATAAGGAGAATTCAATTTTCTCCTTAATTTTGGAATATTTTTCTGACTCGGATTCATAACTCAAGAGAGTGAAATCAACACTTTTCATAATTGGTTTTGTTGGTTGAAGCACATCTGATGATCATTTGCTTTGCACTGAATAGCTAAGGAATGTAGAAATGTGGGCAACATGTTTCTAAACAAAGCCTTCTGCAAAGAGCATGAGGCAATCGGGAACTGTTTCAACTTGCTATTTGAACATGCTAGATGAATGATGCACTTTTTTTTCTAAATACATTAATAAACATTATTATAAATGTTATATCAAAGCCATTTTTTTTTACATTCTTATGTAATTTCACTGGAGAGTGGCAACTGATTTGTAAGTGAAAAATGCTAGTGTCCTCAGTACAGGAATGTGAGGACTGTTCTGTATGTTCAAATGGTAAAAAGCAGTAGAGAGCAAAAGAACTACAGAAACACAGGGTACCTGAGCTAGTATCAGATTAAAATACTGGTGCCAGAAATAAAAACAGTTGTCCTTCACCTAGCAAAAAACTAGTTTAGCTCTTCAAACAAAAATAGATTTCAAGCACCCAGTGATTTCACTATTTTAATATTTTCATCTTTTTTTAAAGTCTTTGCTAATATATATTACTTAAATATTACATTCAATTTAGTTTAATTATATATTATACTAATTATATTATAGATCTCTATAATCTCTATAGACTAATTATATTATAGATCTAATGTCTGAAATAAACAATTCTGGTCCTAAACAAGATACCATAAAACAAATTTTATCAAATCCAAATCTAATACAGCCAAGCTTTTTGGTTGTACTGTTAGGATATATTGCGTTGTTGTAGTTTGAATTATTATTATGTGGTCACAAAGCATGGAGTTCCAGTACCGAGAAGAAAAAAAAAAAAAAAAAAAAGATATTTTGTTACTGCAATATAAGAACTATTCTAAACCTCTGAAACTCAGTCAACACTGTCAATTTAGTTCTCTCTCAAAGTTATTCTCTTGAATCAAATTAATTTGTAGAGAATCCAGACCAAAATATTCTACATTTTCTAGTGGCGCTCAGAGAAAAACAAAACAAYAAAAAAAACACTTATTTTCTTTTCACATTCGCTGTAGAAACATTTCATTTACTTGAAATTTAGGGCTGCAGTTAAGAAAATGGCATGTACATATCTCAAGGAAAAACTTGGTTGACTAGAGTACCAACTCAATTTCTCCTGATAATCTTTCAATAGATTACAATGAAAAATAGGTGACATGCTTACATGTAAATCAACAGCAGAAAGATAAAAATGTAGAATTACCTTTTTACTTCTTTGGCATCACTTGCAATGAAGAATCCTAAAGTACCTTCTTGAATCTTGACATGATTTCCAGGATTGATTAATATACTGCTCAGTGAAACAAAAAGAAACAAAAGACAAAATCATAAGCTTAAATTATCTCTAACTGAATGTTATAAAATAGCTTCATTCTTTTATATGGGACCCACTAGATGGGAAAGGCTACAAAGAATTTTTAAACCATTCTTTGAATCTCCAATCAAACAACAACTTTCGTAGGCCACTGCTTATAAAAAAACCTTAAATTTGAGTCTCATGTACCTTCCCTTGAAATAATATCATTTGAATATTTGTATCTCCGTATTCTAATGCTTTCCATTTAATATAAGCTTTACAAAACAATTCCCTCAGAAATATCATGCGTGAAGTTGAGCATTTCAGCTCTTGCTCTGATTGTCATAGTGGTGAAAGAATTCACAATATGGTGAAAAGGGAAGAAGCAGGCAACCACCACTCAGAAACAGTACAAAAGTCATTTTTGAAGCTAAACCACTTCATGCAACCTTTTTCCATTTTCTAGTGAATGTCAATGAGACCCCTATCCAGACATAAATGCTATTGTTTAAAATTATATATACACACATACACTCAAGGGGAATGGTACAAGACAACCAGTCATGGTAGCTGAAAAACAGAAAACGAATGCAGATTTTTAAAACATTGCTATGCAGCCATGGAAGAACAAAAATATCCAATGTCACACTGACAAAATAACCTTAGCTATATCTGATAAGGAAATTAGGTACCCTCTATCTCCATATGAAATATACTTTCATTAAAATCTATAAATCTATAAAGAAGATTTAGCACTTGATTTTGGTTAAGGCAAATTGCAAAGTGCCAGGCAACACATATTTGCATATAGAAACATATTAATATATTCTGCAATATGTTTTTTTTTAAGAAGCGCAAAATAGCTAAACTCTTTGAAAAAGTGCTTAATAAAGCTTGCCAAGTATTCTTTTTTGTTTGTTTGCTTTTTTTTTTGTTAAAGCTTGGTCTTTACAAGTCAAAGTGCAGCAATGGCACATAGATATAAGTCAAAAAGCACCAGTGATTTAAATGCTCGTGGATTTAATAAACATTTATTTGGGGGAAAGATACTTCTCCAAAACCAGGTGACACACATACCTGGATGGACATGTGTTACTAACATTGAATGGTCAAAAATCTTTGATGTTACTGTTAGAAGCAAAAATGGGTCTCAGCAGGTATCATGTTCAAGATAGTATTTATTATTTATACATTATGAATAAATGACTATGACAAATAATACACCTGGAAGACTTATATGAATTATGTGTGACTACAAATGCACACAATGCTTTATGAAAAGATTCACGTCGTAATATTAAAGTACTCAGAAGTTAACAAATAAGTTGTTAATCATAAAATCACAATGCAGGTCCCATTATAATGCAGACATTACGACCAAATCTTAATTTAATATCCCCAAGCTACTTTTTTCCCCACAATCTGGGACTTCCTAATAGTGTCCTAAGGACGTTACTCCAGGCATTGCGTCACATATTTTATCTTGCTTTAAAAACATTTTTTTCCTTTTGTTTGTCTGCAGAGTTCATCACTATATCATGCAAGTGCTTCACAAATTCTTAATGATTTATTTCACGAAGTCAAGAAAAATCAAACTGCAATGCTATCAAATTTTAAATTTGGCAGATTACATCACTATGAGATCCTGTATCTCATACGCATTTGATGTGCCCCCAGCCTGCTTTTACTAAGTATCTAGCATTTCATAGTTTCTTATTCAGATTCTAGTGACTTTTGCTGCAATTAAGAATGTTCAACTTTTCCTAAAGCCCAGCCTCTGGTTCCCAAAGCACTAAATTCTTATGTTTTGCATAAGAATGTCATCTGTAGAAATTATGGTTAAAAGCATTAGCTTACTCTCAGTTGGTATTCTGTTGTAGAGACAGGAATAGAAATTAGTTCTCAGAGAACATATTTGGCCCAGCTAACCTTTCTTTTCCTTCAGTCACAGTTTCTAACTTTGGAACAAGAAAGGATAGAACAACTACAAAAAGTAGAAGACATCACCACAGCATGCAGGTTCATCTCTGCAGCACAATTCAGTAGCATTGCAAAAGATGAAGTGTGATGGTGTAAGCAGGGTCTACATTTCAGTGAACACAGATAAATGGGATGAATTAAAGTTGTGCTACTTGAATTCTGGCATTTCTTATTTTATCAGTGCCCAGGCTTGCAATCTAAACGTTTATTTAAAGTAGTTTTAAAATGCAACTTCATAGGTTTTAAAATTAGAATAAATCAAATGGAAACTTTTTTTTTTGATTTTAAAAAAATAATTTGTTCATAAAGAATCAGTCACTCAAGTAACAATCAAATTTGAAATCTTTAAATCTCCTGCACAATTTTTTGTAACTTGAGCCAACAAGCATTTAGTAGGTGTTATAGGTGTTACTGAAATTATCATACTTCAATAGATCATCACTAATAGATCATCACTAAAAAAAAAAAAAAAAAAAAAAAAAAAAACAGGATGGCCAATCTTGAATTTTGAGCCTAAGAAAGGCATTTCTCTAAACCCAGAAAAGAAATCCTTCTGCCTATCCCTTTCCAAAGTCTTTTGGTTAACATTTTTTAGCCCTGTTCTTTTCTCACCCTAATTTTATACTTGTTTCAGCCTCCTACCTTTCTTTTCCCTGTCATTTCTCTCTAGCCAATTCCAGATTTCCTTTTTTCAATTCAAAGTAACCTCTCCTGGTTTTTTATCTTCTACTACAGACCACATGTCAGAAAACCAGCAGGAAACCAAGAAAAGCCAGCCTATCCACCATCTCTTCTGTCACCTGCTGCTACCACTGCCGAGAAGCAACAACTGCAGGGAAAGTGCTTAGCCYTTCTTGACCTATCTTAGAGGAAGCTGCTGTTATCCTGAGAATTTAGCTGTGAAACTCAAAAACTCTTTCTAGTCCCTACTCTAGAACATTCAGCAATTTAAAATACAGTTAGACTTGGCCATTTTTATTTGGTAGAAACAGGCACTATTCAATCAGAAAACAACTTCTTTTGCTTTTTCATTTCTCAATCTTAATCATAGAGGCAGTACAACTTTTCAATGAGTACATTTCTGGAGAGGTACAACTGATTTGTAATCCTGATCCGCTTCTTGGAGACAGATAAGCCATTTTGGGTTTCCAAGACAAAGGGGAAAAAATCCTTCCAAATGCTCATCAAACCAAGCTCAACAAGAAACCAGTAGATATGTAGATATGACAAAGTAGTAAACTAGTAAATTAGATATTGTAAGAAATGATGAGCATAATTTTACACCAGAAGTAACTGTCTTCTTTTAAGATACACATGTATTAAAAGTATGGTTTTATTTCTCAAGGTTTTCTGAGACATATGAACTCCATGAAGGTGGGTCAAAGTATAAACTTCACTATTGTGAGAATTTCTTATACTTCATTTACATAGATTTATTTTCACAAATACTATATATTTACAGCTACAAAACGCAGATGTTATCGCAGTTAAGCACTGCATAACAGTTAAGCATAACAAAATCTGTTGGAGAAAAGAAAATATTACTTTGTCCCATGACTACTATTGACAAAGAGTCACAGGAAAGGTTTATAAAGCACTGGTTTCCCTTGCACATGCTGATCTTTAACCAGAGCAAGACATGAGCAGTTTCTACTGAGCCTATAAGGCGTTAAGAATATGCTATTATTGAAGCTGCAATTATATTACTTTTTGTGGGACAAGTGTCATTAGCTAAAACTATGCTTTGATAAGCACTTGCTGTAATGTGGACAGCAAGGAAAGAGTTTTAAACTACAAAAATAAAAATAGGTAATAAAACAGAGAAAAATAAAATGGGCTTTCAAGTTTTCCAAGAAGAACATATCCAACACTTATTTGAAGAGGCATGCATGCTTTCAAGCTGCTTTTGAATATATGTAGACGTTGCATTGTACTGTATCTCCACAGTTCAGAAGATTGGGGCATGGCAACGTAAACTGGAGTTTTAAGACAGCCTCTGCTTATGTCTCATTTTTATTTATCTCCAAGTTTGGGGGTTTTGCAGGTATAGGAAGATGAAGGAAAAAGAGAAAAGGACAAAGACTCATTACATTTAATATTAAGAATTATAGTTGATCCATATCTCCTGTGCAACATGCACTGGAAAAATGCAATGGAAAATGATATATCTGATTTTTTTCAAATATATGTTTTTATCATAGAATATAATTTGATTTTTTTTTCCTCTCAAATCAGCTCATCAAATAAAGCAAGAAGCTTCAAATATTACAAAACTTTTAGGATTTGGATTACCTTGGACACTAACAATTGAAAGTATAATTGAAACAATTAAAAGTAAGTTCAAAAAATTTTAATTCTTAATTTATAAACCAGTTCTAGAAAATAATTTTGTGAGAAAAAATGTTTTCATGATATGGGTCACGTCACTGTACAAAAAGTTTTTACCTTCTGACTCGATTGTTCCTTCATACATGAGCATTTAGAATACATGGCAACTAGAGCCATGTACATTAAATATGATATACTATTTTTAACTCAAATTTACCAGTTTGAGCTTAGCAGAAGCTCCATTAGTTCCATTATTCTGTGGAAAAATAACCATTTCTTTCTAAGTCACTTATGGAATAGAATACATAGTTTAGAAAACTCTACTTTACACTTATCTGATACATAGCAAAAATTAGTCCATTTGCTGAAAAAGTTTCACTTGGTGACTAGATGCAAAATCATGCAGCCAAAAACAATCAAAAGCATGAACAATGAAAGCAGGTCACATACAGAAAATGCGGAAATCATCCTTGAATTCATTTTTGCTCTCAGGAATCAAGAATGATAGAAAATAAATAGTTAAAACTGAACCTCCAGAGTAACTACAATGTAAGAAGGCAAATAGAAATTACGAATTTGCAGGAGCATTTGAGATGTATAGGTTTTAAAAAGTAAAAAAATTCAAATACAGTCAGAAAAAAACTCCAAAGAGTGCTTAAGAATCTCCTTCTACTTAGATGGGTCAACAAAAGGTTAAGGAGCTAATAAGTCTTCCATATGTCAATGTAGAAGAGATATGTGATAGTAACTTTGATATGTATTAATGTGATTGATTTCCTCACTTACTAGGGTATAACTTTTCCTTGCTTTAAATAGATATGTTACCTATTGTAAAATGCATATATATATATATATATATATATATAAAAAAAAAAATATCTGTTCACCCATTCCTATTTACCTGAGATTCACCCAGACCTGAAAGTCTCAGAAGCAGAACATAAGCACAGCACAACACCTTTTTGGTATTGCATGGATTGCAGCTTACACAATACACCAGTACAATAGTCTCTAAAAGGATACTGTAATACATTTTCCCTGAAAATACTAAAATTGAGTAAAGTTTTAATAGCTAAATACAAGTCTCCAGTGCCTTGCAAAAGTTTATTAACTTAAGGGTATCTGATGAAGAATATGAAAGCTACAGGTTTGAACTGTAAGACAAGTTGTGAACTGACATGTTTGGCAAGACTAGTTACTTATTTTGTACTAATTTCTGGTGTTAGGTTATTTTTGAGTGTCTTCTTTCAAATATTATATATGTTGGACTTGAACATTGTTTCTCGGGTTGAAACTGCATTAGGAAGTTTGATGGTTGATGGGTTTTTTCTATATTATTAGAACTTACAATACATTTTTTCTAATACATTATCAGTACATGAAAACCAGAGTAAAAGTTGAAAAACATTCCCTATAGCTTTCCAGCTACCTTCTCTGAAAAGCATAACTAAAAAATAACCAGTTAGATTAGGAGTTGTATTGGTAGGTCACCAATCAACTTTGTAGTTGTAGGTATTATATACAACTCATACATTAATAATCAACCTTGATTAAGTTGTATGCATTTGTTAGGAGGTAGCAGGTAGCTACTAGCACAGCTTCACCATTTGCTTTGCACAARCTCAAAATGACCACTTTTCCAGTACTGTTAAAGTCATACATGAATCTAACTCATCCCTTAATCGGAGCATTGAACATATAGTAAATGCCTCAGATTTATATTTGTCAGTCTTTTCTGAGATCACATTAAGATGCGTGAGGAGCTGTAGACATCTTAAAACTAAGCTGACACACACACACACACACAAGCAGATGTCCAGCAAGTGCCATATAAAAGGTAGACAAGGGCAAATAAATTTTAGCAGCACTCCACAAAGGCTGAAGCCTGGAACATGCGTAGATGCGGTTAGAGACATAAAGTGGTATAAAAAGAGATACAAAATATTCCCTTGAAATCATGGGAGTCTGGATAGGTAATGAGCAGGATATTAGATATCTAATGCTTTGCTTGACAGATCTAGGTGAGGTGAATCCCAACATCAATGACCAAAATCTAAGTTATATTCAGCAAAGATATGTTTCCCACTGATGGATAGTTTTGAAAAATTCATCCCTTCATCAAGGAAGCTTGTCTTTCAGATTTATAGCTACCCTTCTAATTGCCATCATTCCTGTCTAAAAGAAAATAAGATTAGTTGTTGAATTAAATGAAACACAAATGGCATAATTTTGACTAAACAAATGACAAAAGCTGTGACAACTCTCTTTTAAACCTTGTGGTAGATGTACTGTACCATTCCCCATGCAATTGAAATATTAACAATATCATATTAATTAGATCAAATATTAGCTAAGTACTTCTGAAACATTATCTAAAACATGACTGGTATTACTGACTATAGCTACTACATTGTTAAACACAGCTAATACTCTTGAGTGGTTCATGCTGTGCCCAGATGAAATGCACCATCATTAGTATAATGGAGTTTTAAATGTGTCAAGTCATTCACGAAACAACAGAATTAGAATTACAGCATTAATTTGAGGCAACATCTTTTCTCAGTGTATGTTTTGAAGTGGAGTGTGAGGGTAAGTGCACAAATCCCATAATGGGAGTTGTGTGCATACCTGCTACACACTACATGCGTACGTAAGCACTGCTTCTTTCTTCTGGGCTCTATCACTAACATTAACTCAGATTCCATATTGCTCTACACAGAAAAATCCAATAAGACACTAAAAAGAATACAAGGCAAAAGAGACAATGCACATTACATGCTATAGTATATTAAAGCTCAATTACTACAAGCATATAAGGTTGCTCCCAGGAATTAAGTAGTCCTTTATAATAGCAGCTACTAAGTCATAGTCTACAGGGCATGTGCAAAGTTTTTTTATTGGGGCATAATCCAAACTATTTCAACAGTGATGGTGAATTCAATACACTTGGAAACAATTAAATTACTCCTTTCAGTTCAAGAAGTGATTGATTATCAATACAATGGAGCAGCACAAAGTATTTTATTCTGGGAGCAAGCAACCTCACTTTGTACAACACTTCTTCATACGGCTCATCATGCCAGCATTAACATGCCTTCACCACAAGATAATATATAATTAAAAGCAAGAAGCAAAGTAGAGGTGCAACAACTGCAGATCCTTGAAGATGCTAAGTGTTGCAGTAACTTCTCTGCAGTTGGATCATATTAATAATGCCAAACTGACAGGAAGCCACCTCACTTTTCTCACATCTATTCCAAAACCACAGAAGAATAAGACTAGAAATGAAATAAATATAACACACAGAAGACACACAACAGAACTGATATGGAAAGGGAGTTTGGAGACTACCATGAAGATGGAAACTGGAATGTCCACACAACGAAATGGATCTTAAAGACCACCATAGACAGTGAGAGAGACTGATATAATCAATTAGTTAAAAAAAAAGGCAAAAAAGAAGTGAGGAGGTGAAAGGAGAGGATATGGAAGAGTGTGCCTTATTTATTTCATTCAAACCAATAGCAGCATTGGAATTTAAACTACATAGGGGTCCAGAGCATGGCGTAGCAAAAGAAAATGTGAAACATGCCATCCCAAAGGAAAAAAAAACCACAAAACTTAGAAGCAAACTCACTGAGTAACATCTTCAAAAATAAGCTTAACAAATGTCACTAAGATGAACATAACACATAGTACAACTATCCATGGCATTTTCACTGAAATGGTACAATAGCTTTCATATGTACAACTTAATATGAACAACTGGGCTCAAACAGGATCAGCAATGCAAAGAATCAGGCATTTGATTGTTGTTAATGCAAACTGAGACTACAAGAGAACATGAGCTACTGTATTGCAAGACGTGTTCTCAAGAAAGACTCTGGGGAAGAAGGATATCAATGAAGGGATGAGTATGGAGACAACATGGCAGCACAAGGGCCGGAAAAGACGAAATATACATCGTCACAATACAAATGAACAAAAAGAGGACAGGATATGTTAACAGTAAAGTCTGGTTCCTAAATGTAATCATCTGACACACCAAATGGAGCTATACGGGAAAAAAAAAAGTCCTAAAACTTATCCTGTTTTATGCTTTGGTTTCCTGCAAAGAAGTTAGTGCATGAGTAACAAGAACCAATGGAGAGACAAAATGCTATTCTCTCTCCTTTTTGAGATTGGGGGCTCATATATAAATATACATATATATATATATATATATATACACACAGACACATGAATATATATATATATGTACAGATATACAGAGAAAGATAGACAAAGGTGTTATCTTCCTGTGTTCTTGGCAAGGAATTAGTCCTGAAGTTAGAAGGAGTGGAAGTAGGATTGAGGTTGGAAGGAAAGGTAACGAAGAGGGCATACCGCTTTCGGCTTCTGCAAACGACAAGAAAAAAATTGCAAATCAAACACTTTGATAAGAAACCAACTGACACCAAAGCAAAAGCAAAAAAAAAAAAAAAAACTTTATTTGAAAGTCTCCAAGGCTCAAAGGTTTTTCTGCTGAGAATGAGAACAAATAAATGGATAAACAAAGAGAAAATTTAACAAGAGGAGTAAACACAGGGTGCAGGAGGGAAGAATCCTGATTAGGCTTTCCTTTTTGTTCATATTAAAAAAAAAAAAAAAAAAGAGAGAGAGAGAGAGAGAAATAAAGGGAAAAAAAGGAAGAGAAACATCTCTGAAAGGAAATTCAGATGTGTGTTTTCAAAGTGTGCATTTTCAATTGATATTGTTTCTTGTCCCTTCAGTAATTTCTGCTGTTCTGCTAGGACTCTGTCAGGCTGATGCTCTCCATACTGCTTTACACGAAAGCATTTCTCTCTGCAGAAGAAAGGAAACCTTCCTAATAATCATAGCTATTTTAATTAATTTAAAATTACCTTGAAGGGAAATGGTTGCATAAAAAGATTATAGATATAAATCATACTGAAAATATTTAATCTACTTATTTAATATATCATATATATGATTTAGTACCTATATTTGGGCTTGTAAAACTCTTACCTAAAAGTGTTTCGAAATTGTGTTTTTGTAAAACCATAAAATGCTTTTGCATTAACAATCTAACATGGTTCAAACTTAGGAGCAGGTTGTGCTTAGTTCTTTGGATAGTGTTATTTAGGATCCATGAAAAGAGTAAAAGCACCAGGCTCAGCTACTGCAAACTAGTATAGTATATTGAATATAATAGCTATGATGATTTATAATTACTGTCAAACTCAGATTAGAATAGGAGTGAAATTAACACAACTTGACTCCAAATTAGAAAGCTGAAATTTAGAATATTGTCTAAAAACGCCCCTACAAATGACTATTTATGTCTTTCTGTAATGGAGACATTAAGTCAATGAAAATTATGCCATTGACTTAAAATGGTGCTTAGATTTCTTGTTAAAACTGAGGTGATTAATTATAAAAGGGATTAAAGATCTAGAACCTTCTTACATTGCGCTTTTGAGAGCTGCATACGCTCCTGAGATCAATTTGTGGTTGCTTTAACTCTGAGTACAAAGTGATGAAAGCAGACAAAACTAATCTTCAAAGGAAACTCCCTTAAGCGAACAATAAGACATTTAATTTGCTTATGTAGCTATTATATTATAAATCTTGACAGAATTCAAAGTCGTAGAAGTAAGATCTTCTCATCATTCAAGTAGGAAAACACATTTTTAAAAATTTTCTCTGGTTCTAAAAATATTGGTCCTGCACCTGTTTCTGCTATATTGGATGAGCCTTGTTCTCAAAACAAGGGTGTCATCCAGATAGCATTGTGCATATTTATTTATAGTTATCATTACTACTATAAAGTAGTAGTAAAGTAGATAAAAGCTCTCAATAGCTCTACAAAATGTGAAAATAAACTGTAATCATAAAATAAATTGGTGTATTTCTACTGTTGATTACTTCATAAAGACTGAAAGATAAAAGGGCATCCTAGCTAACATCCTTTTCACATTAATGAAGTATTACCAATGAAAAACTGAAGATACAAAGTAGGATAAAATCTTGCCAGAGTCAGTATTAACAGAAAAAATGAGCAAACAATAGATTCATCATATTCAATGACAGCTGCACTTGCAAGCCATATTATTCTATTTTTGATCTTGATCCCCATTCTTTTAATTTTAGCAAGATGCAAGGAAACTCAGCTATGCCTAAAATAYGAGAAACTGAAGTTTTGTTCTACTACCTTTCTTTTGATTAGACTAAAATCTTCAACTCAGCAAACCACCAACATTTACTTTTGGTTGAAGAGCACAGGGATAATTAGAATAGTAAAGATATGCTGCATGTCATTACAAAACAGTTACCATGAGCATGCTAGCAAAATGCAGACAAAGCAATCCTGTGATTCACCAAGCAGTGACCATTAATTCTCCAGGTTAGTAAGAGCAGCAGATGTTAGTATGGTCCTGGGTTATATGAAGATGTATCTATCRTATACTCTCTTTTACATATAGACAAATTCCCTAACAGCTAGCATCTCTTCACTGATACTGCTTCCTGCAATTCTTAGGCCCTTTGGTTCTAATTATTTGATTGTAAAATAATTTGTGTGGCTTTAGGTAAGGAATATAAGGAATATAATCTAACATACCACATTATTTTGGGGGGTATTCTTTGCATCATTTTGTGATTAAGAGCTCAATACAAATCCCACTGAAGTTAATGCAAAGAATGATGTGGAAGCCATGAATAATCTGTTATTACTACAAAAGGCTGTAATATTAGCACTTTTGTAACTAAATGAGAAGCGAAGTAATGACAGCTTAAAGTTGGATAATAATTCTTAGAGGGAACCAATAAATAAATACTTGTAAAATACAAAATCTGGGAAATAGCTCCATGTTGTTTCTATTGTGTTGATTGTATTGTTGTCCTTTTTTTTTTTTTTTTTTTCACCTAGGTTAAGATCATAAAAGAACAATTACTTGCTGGCTTTACAGTAGCTAATTCAAAAATGAGGTCATTCGATGAAAGTAATTATTTTCATGATGAGCCTATGGGAGCTGAAAACATTGTAGAAAAATGGTATTAAAAAATAAAAATTAAAAAATTAAAAAAGGATTTCTTAATCAGCATAATGTGGGCAAAAAGAACCCAGCATCACATACATTGCTTCACATATTACTTATCACAGAGTCATGTAAAACAAAGCACRGAGCAGGGAATTTTTTGCCATATGCCCCACATACATTTTATAGATTTTTTTAATAAATAAAAATCAACAATCTAAGAATAAATATTAAAATATACCTTCTATAGTCCTCAATAGGTTTAGGTAATTGGTTGTCTGAAATAAGATGATCTATTATATATGGTTCCAGTTTTACTATTGCACTTCTGAAGGTAATTTTCAAGTGAGAAAAAGATTTTTATTACATGTCCTTTGTATATTGCTGACATACTTACAGAGCATATTTATAGTATTTTTGTTATATGGAAATTAACATTGTATAAATGTAGCAGTGAACAAATTTTTAGAGTCTTGATCAAGGTAATTTATAGCAGGATTCTTACAAAGGTGTATATTAAAAAAAAAAAACCAAGAAGCAGTGATTTTCCTGTTTGTGAACTGTAATGAAATTTCTTCTTTACAAATGAAGAAAGAAATCAGCTAAATCTTAAGTTCAAGGGTAAATGAATCTTTTCCAGCTTAGTTCTCTGAGTTTTATCTGAATGCATATCCATTATGCATATCCTATGTTTCTGTTTCTCCTCTAACTTGTGTAAAATAGTTCTTTCAAATTCATTTATGTGAACTTTTTATTTTGAGAAATACACATATTCAGTGTTCTGGTATCACATCTATTTTGCAATTTTCCATTGAAATTAGTTCAATTGCTGACTAGAGCAAATAGACTATTGTATACTGAATTAGGTTGGTTTTAAGTAACTAATTGCACATATGTAACAATATTCCCTACCTTTTACCAAATATTCTCTCAAATTAATTTTGGGAGGGAAGAACATGACAGAAACAAAAGCCTTTCAGCATTATAAAAAACTCATGTAATGTGAGGCATGCTAATTATGGTCTGAAACACTTCAGAAGTGGAATAGCAATGTTCATTCTGAAATGCTAACAGGCAAAATTAGCGACAGTGCATCCCAAAAGTTGAAAGTTTGCTGTTACCGACATACCTGCTCTCTCGCTTTTCCGACTTGTATTCTATGGCTATCATTAAGAGCTTTAGTTTCGCAAACACCAATCTAAGGAAGGAAAGAAGTCAAGAGTCAGTCTTTTYTCACAACCAATGTACCCCACATAGAGATCTGCAAGAGGTATGAATTTTCTTTGAGAATTATTGCTACTGTCTTTTCATATTTCTCGTGTGCCTACATAGTATATATTAAGGTATTTCTATTATGAAATTATCTAATAGACATTTTCAGAAAACTGCAAAACCAACAAGTTTACAACACTAGCACAATTACCATATTACTTTATTAAATTTGTCATTAAGCAAAGGTCGTGATATAAAGCATAAGATTTTCATTTGGCTGTTGTGGCTGTCTGGAGGAAACTTTTCCAATCTGTGCTAGAATTTAGCCATATGTTGATGTACTGCACATTCCTTATGCCATATGTGTGGACTGATTTAAAACCACAKTACGCTATTAATAAGTACGTATTCATCAATTACTGTCACAGAGCAACAGCATAACTAGAAATTATTTTTCATCAGTATAGGGGAAGGTACATGAAGATACCTTGACAGGCATTTTTTAATAGGTGTAAAAGTTGGTAGGAAATAAAAATTCAAGTTAAACTTGAATGTGGGGGGATGAGAATACTGAGGCCATGTGCTTTATATCAAAATACAGACATATACAACAGAATATACTATGCATTCATTTTTCAAACATAATTCATAATTGCATTTTTTTTGAAAATTTTCTTTTCATAGTATTGATAGAATATATCAATTCCCTACTGCCTGCTTTCTAAGAGGAGGAACTCATTGTCGGGGAGATAACATACGGAAGAAGATAGGTACAAATTCATCTATATTTCATAATCGACCAAAACTCTTATCCTACCACTTCTGGACGATGCCAGACATGGGGTGACAAAATCCTGACAGCTATGCAGTTTCTGGTTAGCCCATCACCTCATACAGTATTAAAAGGAAAATGAAGGCTGACTATATTTAAGGAATCAGAAGAGAAAGGAAGAAGAAAAAATGTTCAWTTTTCAAGGATTTGATAGCAGAGTATTCCAGATGTTTTACTGGGAGTATTATGCATCTATCATAAAAAGATAATACAATTTTGTGGTTCCCCATACAGTTTAATGAGCCAAGAATGCCTGAAGTTCTAAATTTTCTTTTTTTATTATTATTTTGACCAACTACATTCTTTGAGGAAATACACGGAATATCACCACCATCTCTTAGTGTAGTATTTTCTCAGTASTTTCTAATCAATATATGCCTCCAAAAAGACATTGCAAAGTGAGAGACATATTACCCTACTACATTGGGACCAATGTATCACTCCCATTTACAGAAAAGCAAAAATATCTTTATGTGGTAAAATGAATAGGTTTACATAAAATTATCCATGCAAATAAACAGCAGGATACATAAATCTTACTATTTAAGAGTATTTTGGAGGTGTAGCTTGATATGATTAGTAATGAGAATGACACTGGTTGAAAATAATGAAAATGATGCATTTCRTTTGCCAGATAAAGATCTTATCCTGCTATTTTTTTTCCTGATCCTTTAAAAAAAATGTTATAAGAATCACAGAACACTTTCTATACCAAATCATTATCCACATAGAAATCCAAAACAACTACCCATGACAGTATGGGAAGCCTTTATTTCTACCTTATTTTCAACCACCAGTATCATCTGTTAAGTACAGATGAATACAGATGTTCATGAACAGGTGCTCTTAAGCATTTGAATCCAACTGTTTCTATCTACCCAGAGAGAAATAAATTGGTTATGCCTTTATAAACCATCTTTCTTGACTGGTAATACTAGAAGAACCAAGGGCACAAAATGATAGGAATTATGTTCACATATTAGAAATATATCGGGGGGAATATATTCAAATAGCACACACACACACACACGCTGTGTTATAAATGAAACTTGACGACTGCTATTCACTTCCACTTCAATATAAATCTCATCCTTCACCTCGGTGTTGAAGTCACAACCTTGAAATTCTTCTAAAATGCTGTGTTCCCTAATTCCATTGAAATAACAGCTGTTTCTGCATCCTGTTTAAGTTTGCCATCTAAACTAACGGCACATTTACCAAAGACTGGTAATCAAGACCAACAACCTGAGATAACAGCACACCTCATTCAGTCATAGGGTTTTGAAATGGCATTGGCTACATGAATATTAAAAGCTAGATTAGAAAAACTTTTAATAAAGTCAGTAGTTGACCAGACTAAGACTGTCCACTGATTTTATTTCCTCTTCACAAACCAGTGAAATGCACATTTTGCTACTTTGCGTCATCTGCAACAAACCTGATATATAACACTATATAGAATACTACACTGTAATTATCATTGTGCTTTAAATAACTTGAATTGAAGAATGTTATCATTAAACTGCTTATAAATTTGAGTTACAGCTTCTTATTTTTAATTTAAACTAAAAAAAAAAAAATCACACACACAAAGATAATTAAGTTACAAGATAATCAGATGCTTGGGCTAGCTGCATTCCAAAAAAGGCGGATTTTCTAATTGCTAACATTTGCCTAGCAGTTGTTTTTTTTTCCCTTGTCCTTATGCCATAACGTATACTATATGGCAAAAATCAGGAAAAGGGACAGATGTGAAGTGTTCAAGTCATTCTGCTTCCTATACAGATACTATCTTATTTCCTCCTTTATTTCCTGCTCTAAGAATGGAGCCTACAGAAGTTTTTGTTATCTAGCTAGATATCAGTCTCTTCAGATGCCTAATAAGAACTCTACTCTGAACAGGCCCTAGGAAAAGTGGTCCATGGTGTTACGACCTCTTGGTACTACTGTAACGGAGAACAGTAGCAACAAAAGAGGAAATCTAAAAATATAGATTCTTTTTTTTTTTTTTTTTTTTTGTGAAAACAAATATATTTATCCTAGAAATACCATGTACATGAATCTCTGCTTCACAGAATGCTTTGAGGTAAAATAAGGAATTTCTGGAAAAAAATATACCATGTCTCAGCTATGGTTATACACAATATGAATCAAATATTCTCTTTTCATTACAGAACAGATATATTTTCTCTAACATATGTTTCATTTGTTAAAAGTGTATTGTAACCAATTCCACTGAGTGCTGGTTGCCACACCACTTACAGTATATATAACTCCATTACATCTGCTTCAATTAATAAATAATTTTCCTGAAATGGGACATAAGCCAAGATGGTGACACTGCCAAATACCATTCAAAGAATGAGAATCATTAGAAGAAACAATAAGATAACACTTACAAATAAATAACTCAATTTAAATGGATTGCTGATTAATTTGTTCAACACTGAGAACATTTAGGCTTTCATTTATTATCGCTTACTTTCAAATCACTTCTAAAAACAGGCATTAAAATGTTTGGAAAACTTCCATGCAGTGATTGCATTAATGTTTATTTTATTGGATCCCATCTGATGCAGAAGCAATAATAGGACTGTAGCAGAGTGCGAATGTCTCTTATGAAAACCTTTGATTGCACTTGAGAGCACACAAATAATTACGTTTGTTAATATATATTTCTACTTACTCACAAACTGCAGGGAAGGACAAACCCACAAAGGCACTAGATAGATATTCTGTATACATTTCATTTGCCACTCCTTCCAGATAGTATTTCTGCCATGTATCCTCCTCAATCTAAGAGAAAGAAACACAGATGCAGAGTTCTGAGTTAAACCAAAAGCTTCTTTGAAATACATAAACAACTGCTTAAACATAAATCTACTTTTAACAACTATAAATTAGTAGACCAATACTATGGCAATAAATAATGCTTATTTCTACAGGATGTCTTGGAATGCCAAAAAAGAGAGTCCATATAATGAGCAAAATAAATAGCCTATGTAAAACTAAAGTACTTCAGCTCTTGCAAGCACATTCAGCGTGAGGTAAAATAAGATTGTGGAAAACACGAGGATAAAACGTCTCAGTTTTCTCTTTCTGAAAATTTTCCATTAAAATGGTGGAATTACATGGTTACATGAGTCTCTCTGGAAATGTCTCAATCGTATTCACCTTCTTTAAAGTCGGACAGCATTTGAAAAACATCTGAAATTCTACAAATCTGTTCTTCTCAGCATCTATATAGCTATTATAGTAATGTTCTGTCAAACTATATCTGGTTTTGAATAGCATTAAAACTAGCAGCCTCTGCATAAGATACCTCCATGCCAGTCTTTAGTAAACTCAAAAAGGTAAACATTTAAGAGGGAATAGATTAAAGCACACACCCCAAATGCCAGCCAATTCACAACTATGATATACAATACGCTGTATGTATTTTTAATGTATCAAGCAACTGGCTTTCTACCTCTTAACTTGAAAAACAAGCTTATGACTATATAAATGTTATTTTGACTTTTTTATGGACATTAATAATATTTTTCTTTTATAGTTATAAATGATTTATAGTGTTTAATTAATTGTACTTCACGTTATTCAAATTTAAATTATACTTCTAAACCAAAGCTAGTTGTATAACAATACTTTTAATAAAAATCTAGAATTTTACCATTAAATATTTATAAATTGAAAAGTATTATCTTTACTTTTTAAATCTTACCTCCTGTAGAAAAGAAAACATGTACAAGCCTTAAAAGTATTCCAAAATTCCAAGTCAAACTGTTTCACTGTGCTAAGGATCTGCATATCTTGCTTTCTATTTCACTCTTACCTCTCCTTTATCTAAACCAAAATCTCAGCATCTAAGAAATTGGCATCTGTGGGTACAAGCACCAACACAGAAGCTTTCAAGGAGATCTGTTCATCTCACTTCACCACCAATGTAATCACCTCCCCTTTCAACCAATTTCACAGAATCACAGGATCACAAAATGGTTAAGGTGGAAAGGGACCTCTAGAAATCATCTAGTCCAACCCGTCTGCTCCAGCAGGGACACCTAGAGCATGTGGCACAGGGTGGCATCCAGGCAGGTTTGGAAGACTTCCAGAGAAGCAGACTCCACAACCTCCTTGGGCAGCCTGTTCCACTGCTCTGTAACACTCTCAGGAAAGWWGTTCTTCCTCACATGGAGATGGAACTTCCTGCTTTTTAATTCATACCTGTTCTGCCACTTCTTATCACTGGCCATCACCAAGAAGAGTTTGTCCCCATCGCCTCTACGTTCTCCCCTCAGGTACTTTTATGTATATTGATCAGATCTCCTCTCATTCTTCTCTTCTCTAGGCTAAACAGGCCCAGCTCGCTTAATCTTTTCTCTGAAGACAGATGCTCTGGTCCCTTAACCATCTTGGTCGCTCTCTGCCAGACCCTCTCCAGAAGCTCCATATCCCTCTTGTACTGGGGAGCCCAAAATTGAACGCAAAGAACRTGTTGAGTTTCAGAGAACGGCAGCACAGTTCTCTGGAGTGTTGGCYGCTCCACTCAGTTATTRTCCACAAATTTGTCCATGGTGCACTCCCTTCCCTTGTCCAAGTCACTGATGGACAAGTTGAACAGTATTGGGTCCRGTACTGATCCCTGAGGGACACCRCTGGCTACAGGCCTCCAACTAGACTAAGTCCCATTTATCACCACCCTCTGAGCTCTGCCCTCCAGCCAGTTCTCAATCCACCTCACTGTCCACTCATCCAATGCACACTTCCAAAACTCTCCTATGAGATGTTACGGGAAATTTTTTCCAATTTCCACACCAGCATCACTGTGTTATCTTTAAAGCTCATGAAATGAGTATTCTCTTTGCCTGTTTCTTTTCAAAGTCCAGTYACCTACTGTGTGCTTCATCTGTGCTCTTGTTATCCTGTCAAACAAAGGCACCCCAGAATAATAAAAAATAAATAATTCACAGAATAGTTGAGGTTGGAGATCATTTGGTCCAATCCTCTTGCTCAAGTATGGCCAGAAATTGACAAAAAATGATGTTTAAAAATTTTCCACTTTTGAAAGTTCCAAGAGACAGTATGATTCTATGATTCTATGATCAAATCAATGACAATCTAGTAATTTATGGATAACTGTTACAAAAAAATAATCCTCAAATTAGTAGTGTCATAGATGTGCAGCTCAGTGAGCAAAGCAAGGATTGCACTATTCATTACTAGCAAGTAAAGCAAAAGCCCTAGTGAATAACTTCAGAAAGGAAATTATAGCCAAGCTCTGTGCTTGCAGGAGCACATTAAGAGTGCAATGTCCTAACAGTATAAATAACATTCACAAATGTGCAAAACATATAGGTTGAAGAAACATTCTCATAACATATGCACACATGGCTTTTATTGAAATGATATGGTCATGAGAATGCCGAGCTTGTTAACCTTTCACAACTTGGAAGCATCTCTTCCATATAAAAACCTGATTTACAGCTTGTTTAAACCACTGGAAGCTTCTCTACTGATTCTGTCAAGCATTAAGATCATTGTCCAAACAAAACAGAGTAGAAAGACACCACAGTATGTTCCGACATAACAATTTAATAATTAATAAAAATCAATTATTTATTTGTGTGACAAATTTCTCTCTTGCACACAAACCACCTTCCACGATTTAAAAGAACAAATCTAAATTGTACAGCTGTTATAGTAGAACTTATATGGTATTTTATACAAGTTTATATTTTGATTACACACTCAGTACTAATTTGGGATTTACCAAACTTACCTTCATGTTAAATTATTCAAAAAGAAGTTTTTAAAAAGTATTTTTTTGGAAAAAAAAAAGTTAAGAAAAACAGAAGGATGTGCAGACCTCCTAAGAACCTAGTGAAATATCATTTACAGTAAATCTATTTTTCCTTTTTCTCTTCCTGTTGATGGGCTACTATGTAACCAGTTATGTCAGCTCTGGAAAAGTAAATAATCAATTGCAATTATAAATTTCAATATGGAGATGATCCAAATCATATGTTTCCTGACAAGTAGACTGTAAACAAGAGATATTTCTTTCATAAAAATAGTTTCATCATTTGCAGACCATGTGGGATGCTAAAATGGAAATGCATTGTGTTACTCCTCACCGCACACAGAGTAGGCATATCACATTTTTTTGTAACCCTTTTATTTATGTGAGGCTTGCAAATGTTGCTGATCAGCAGCATTTTATATACATAAAACAGACACAGTGCAGGCAGAGGAAAAACCCACAATGATATGTTTGTGACTTGTGCTCTATTTTGTGGCTTTTTCTTAGACCAATACCACCTGGACTTCGAAAAAAAAATACACACACAAAAAAAAAAAAGTATAAAGAAAATCAAATAAGGCTGTATTCTGCTTTTCTGCTTGTTTCTCCTTTCTATTTTGTCCCATGTTTTCTTTCCTTTATGTCTTTGTTTTTGATTGGAATAACCGCAGGTCAAAACCATACTAAGGTGATCACTCTCAGCCAAAGACCTACGCAAGTACTAGCAAAAACAGACTGATCTGAAAAACACTGCAATGGATCAAGCTTGTTTAATATTGTTTAGTGTTGAATTCACTTTCCTAAAGTGATTAGAATGTCAGATCTTAGGATAACATGAAATTTTGATTGATGAATTTAAAGAATTGCAGATACTAGGGAAAGAAAAAGCATCAGGCAGTGTGCTAAGTAGTCCATCTCCAGACTTACTGATCATTACCTATTACTAATTATTTCTTACCTATACTTATCTAGACTTTAACAGAAAGTTGTCAAAACTGAAACRTTAATGTAAAGATGCAAAAGTGTCCCATCTACAGCTAAAAAAACTGATGTGCCTCTCACATCAGTGGGCTGAAAATAATGAGGAATATCGTTAATTATTGACCATCAGGCAAACTCTACAGAAACTAACATAACTGACTTTGAGTTGACTTTGGTTCAACATGAGACTACAGTTACTAAACTTCAGTTACTAAAATTCTCAAAATATTTCATTATTGCAATTAACACATCTTATTCCAGCTCATCTGACAGCAGAATCTGGATACTTCTATTTTCTATCTTTGTATAATATGAGTTAATAGAGCTGAGACAAAGAGAATAGATTTCATTTCAGGGCGAAGTTTCCTGCAGGAAACCTTAGCTTGTTAAGAAAGGAAAACATACAACTCTATTAAGTATTAAGGGCTCCATGAAGTCAAATATGTTAATTACTTTCTCATATCAAAAACTGACATAAGGCATTATCTCCTGTTCAAAGTTACCTCTGCGGACAACTGCAAGTTTGAGAAGTTAGTAATTTTGATAAAACTCTGTCTTATTCTTGATCAAGTCTCTCAGAGATCCACTGGAAAATTCTTTCTAKGTAGCAAAATCATTGACGAATAATAAAGCAAGCAAATGTTTCTTTAGAGTTTTTGCTAGCAGAGTAACTACTGTTACTAAAGTGAAGAAATAGATTTTTAATATTTCTTTCTCCAAATCACAACTTTCTCAGATTTTTGAAGAAGTAGGTTTCAGAAACATAGCTGTAAAACACCAAGCCCTATAAGTATTTAAAATTAAGCACAAAAAAAAATCAATGTGAGAAGATGAAAAAATGATAATGCATCACAGAGAATGTGTCACACCACCACAGTGATTTAAACCTAGATCTCCCAAGTTCTCTTCCTGTAATGTAAGGACAAGACTATCTAATTCCAACTATCTTATACTGTAATTCTGGTCTCCTAGTTGCTCTTAAAGCAAATTACTCATTCAATAGTCTATATGAAGAATA